GTCTAGCGATTCACTACCACCTATAAATCATATTGTTAATATTTTAGAAAGAATAAAAAAAATTTTTCATTAAATTTTAAAATACCTTTAAGTCTAACATATTCTCCTATTTTCTCAGCAACAATTGGATCTAAGGCTTTCTCTTCAACCATTTCTTTTTTGACTTCTTCCCATGGTAACTGATTGATTTATTCAATTAATTTATTCATTATTTGATTTGTTTACCTTCCAATAAAGATTTATTTTATTTTACCTTGTCTAACTTATCAACTGCAGATGAAATAGGTCTGATTTTTGATTCTTCTACACCACAGATTTGAAATATTCCATCCAAAATCTTACGGTGATTAATCTTTCAAAATTGTAAAAGTTAAATTAACTACTAATCATAAATGAATAATCAACACATTATATATTTCTTAAAAATTTTTTTTTACCTTGACTTTATATTCACCAATTTCCAAAGCTGTTAAACATTCACACATAATTTTTATAACTTCTGAATCAGCTATCATTGGGTCAAAACTTCCTGCCACATCAAAATCCTAAATTTTTATTATATATTATAATAAATACCAAAAATTTTATAATAATAACATAAGATTAACATAAAAAGATTACATCATACACATTGATAAAATTCACGCATACGACCTTTGGTCATAGCAGGCTGGTCTCTACGATAAACTTTAGCAATTTGATATCTTTTAAAATTTTGATATTGTGATCCATTAATTGCCAAAAAACGAGCAAAAGGCACCTAAAATGTAGAAGAAAAAATTATTATTAAAACAAAAAAAAATGAATAAAGTAGTTTTTAAAATAAATATTGTCATACAAACTTACAGTTAGATCATAACGTAATGAACAAAGTTCTCCACCTTGATCTTCTAAGTCAAATATCAATTTACTATCTTCACCATATTTACCAGATAAAATTTCTTTTAACTCAAAAACTGGAGTATCAATTGTAACCGCACCATGTTTTTTAAAAGTTGAAATAATAGTTGAAAAGATTTTATCTCTAATTGACATTTCTTTTTCATTATAATCTCTTGTACCCTAATAATTAAAATTTAGAAAAATATAAAAAAGTTTCTAGTGGTTTTTATAATCTATTATTAATTTATTTACCTTTGGTGTTTTAAGTGTAAAAGCATGTTTATTTTTATTTTTAGAACTCTCTCCAGCTAAAGAAGATAATTGATTTTTTAAATCAGACAAAACTTCCAATTCTGTATCTATTAAAGTTTTATCAACATCTTGAGTTTTTAATAATCGGATTTTTTCACCCTGCTCTTTAATTTTAAATTTTAATGTTTCTTGCGTTTCATTCATTTCTTTAAGATAATTATTATGTATATTATGTATAAATTGATAACTTGCTTTTGTATGTTGATAATTATGACTAGTACTATTTACCGTCATCTCTAATCTTAACACTAAATAACGACCCCTGTAGATCTCCCGCGGATGACTTGTAGATCGAATAATTTGCAGAACATTTTTTGTGATCACACATGAAAACATTTTTTCAAATTTTGACCTTGAAAAGTTATTGTTATTGTAAATGTTTTTAAGATTGATTTGCCAACAAATTTCGTAGGCATTCATTCCGAAATTAGGGTATCGTGTAACTCCTACAAATTAAAAATAATCCTCGCGATTTTCTGATATATTAAAAAATTTGACTTCAAAAAAGGTCAAAAAAAATTTTTTAAAATATTTTTAGCAATTATTACTTATAACACAATAGATGTTTATACAGCCACTTTTGCAAGAACACCTCTTGGTGGTTTTAATGGACCATTAGCTTCTTTTACAACAATAAAACTTGGCTCCATTGTTGTGGTGGATCGCGGCTAATTTACATAATACATATTAATATGTAAACTCGACAAGTCGGTTTTGGCCTAACTCGGCCAAAAATTTTCGCCCCGTTTTTTTACTATTTAAAAAAATTCGATAAGTCGGTCAATCTATATAAA